ACAGGCACTACATCACTACTGAAATCCTAATATGACAGACACTACATCACTACTGAAATCCTAATGTGACTGGCACTACATCACTACTGAAATCCTAATATGACAGGCACTACATCACTACTGAAATCCTAATATGACAGGCACTACATCACTACAGAAATCCTAATATGACAGGCACTACATCACTACTGAAATCCTAATTTGACTGGCACTACATCACTACTGAAATCCTAATATGACACTACTGGGCACTACATCACTACTGAAATCCTAATATGACAGGCACTACATCACTACTGAAATCCTAATATGACTGGCACTACATCACTACTGAAATCCTAATATGACTGGCACTACATCACTACTGAATTCCTAATATGACAGGCACTACATCACTACTGAAATCCTAATATGACAGGCACTACATCACTACTGAAATCCTAATGATGACACTACATCACTACTGAACTACATCACTACTGAAATCACTAATATGACAGGCACTACATCACTACTGAAATCCTAATATGACAGGCACTACATCACTACTGAAATCCTAATATGACTGGCACTACATCACTTCTGAAATTCTAATATGACTGGCACTACATCACTACTGAAATCCTAATATGACAGGCACTACATCACTACTGAAATCCTAATATGACAGGCACTACATCACTACTGAAATCCTAATATGACAGACACTACATCACTACTGAAATCCTAATATGACTGGCACTACATCACTACTGAAATCCTAATATGACTGGCACTACATCACTACTGAAATCCTAATATGACAGGCACTACATCACTACTGAAATCCTAATATGACTACTATACTGAAATCTAATATGACTGGCACTACATCACTACAGAAATCCTAATATGACAGGCACTACATCACTACTGAATTCCTAATATGACAGGGACTACATCACTACTGAAATCCTAATATGACTGGCACTACATCACTACTGAAATCCTAATATGACTGGCACTACATCACTACTGAAATCCTAATATGACAGGCACTACATCACTACTGAAATCCTAATATGACTGGCACTACATCACTACTGAAATCCTAATATGACTGGCACTACATCACTACTGTAGTCCTATATGCTATATAAACAAAAGAAGTTTTGGAGTGGTCATGTTTTTATGGGATTGATCATGCATAATCTGTGTGCTCAATGACAGCCACTTGTTTGTCCGTCAAAATTGTCGTATTTCCTCCAATAAAAGCCTCGTCTTATATATCTTTAAGATACTCTGGCGTTTAATTACAACGATAACAATCGCCAGAGTTCACTGCACACATGCTACCCGTCGTTTTATCGACTCCCAGCGAATGTTCAAGGAAATTCGGTAAGTTGCAAAAGGTACTGTAGCCTAAAACAATATTCACTCTCAATGTCGACGCGGCGCATAAAAACACACATGCTGCCTTTGGTGAGTTTGGGAACACCCATTCTCTTCCCACAGAGGTTACTTGTCATATCTTCCTACGAACCTCTGTTCTAATACGGCCCTTTCATGGTGCGAGTGTTTAGGATTCGTGATTGGTTGCAATCAGATTTAGTTGTGCAATCAGCGACGTTGTTTCAAAAGTGATCATTCGCAAGGCTTCGGTAATTTCCGTATGCTTCGGGAAAAACTAGAACCTCTTTACCTGCGCGATGCGCAAACGTTTCTTCTAGACAGAACTCAGTCCTGTAATGGCGGGTCGATGGCGTCTCCATTTTTGATATTTGTGGTCCCACATTTGCTTGCATTAGTCAGGTTGGAGCTAAGTCGATGTAACACGTGTTCTGATTGGATAGAAGGAAGGGAGATAATTCGTGTTGCGATTTTTGGCCGATAGGGGATTTTAAGAGAACCGGGAAATATGGCCGTATTAGAACAGAGGCTCGTAGGAAGATATGACAAGTAACCTCTGCGGGAAGAGAATGGGGAACACCCGGTGTCCTTCTTTTGATAAATATTGAAAAAAACTGGTCAAGGCAGAATTTGAAACCAATGAACCCAGAATAATGGTTAACTTATACCCTTATGAGCAGGATGATGGGTTCACTGTAAACATGCCATCATGCTTATAATACTTCACTGGCTTCCCTTCACGGTAGATGGACTTATACTAGTAGCACAACAGGATTGAGATGAAAAGGTTTTAAACGGGTCCGTTTTTCAATGTTGAACCAGATTTTGCATTCTACGGAAGCCACCAAGCGAGGAGAGCTGGCTTTGACACATGATCTCACGCCCCGTCTTACAGACGCGAGACTCGGAGGGCGTGAATGTTATACAATTATACTACAGGTGCACGCAGGTAGAAAATGTTAAAAGGATGATTTCATTCTCGAGGATTCCTTGTGCAAGAGGCGAGTACTGCTGGTAGAGCAGTAGATTTTCACCCTTTTCACCTGATGTCATTACCGATGTATTCCCGTAATTTCCATCGTTGATTTAACTTTAAGGCAAATGACATTTGTTTCACCAGGCAAACGAGACTGGTTTTTCTCTGGCGTGGAAAGTGAGTGAGTTCAGTTTTACGCCGCAATTAGCAATATTCCAGCAATATCACGGCGGGGGACACCAGACATGGGCTTCAGAGATTGTGCCCATGTGGGAAATAGAACCCGGGTGTTCGGACGAGCGAGCGACTTAACGGCTAGGCTACCCCACCGCCCCCTGACGTGGAATGGTTTGAACAACATCAGGAGTATTATCGTGCTGTTGACGCCAAGTTACAGCTCCAGGGGTGTTAATAAATTATCATACAGAGTAAATAGCGTAACGTGTCGTTGTTGTTGACGTATTGTCCACGTTTGGGCAATTTTGTAACCACCGTATGCCCTAAGGCTCAGCAGGGGTGTACGCCAAGGATTAGATATAAATAACCTTTTGTTTAGCCTCTGCATGAAAGCATTAGCTGTATAGATGAGATTTGGTGGAAAGAGCCTACCATCTACTATTGTTGTGCTAACAACTGTCTACAAAACACCACTGAATATATTTGCATTGTTGTCGAGAGGAGAAAGCAAGGATGCAATGATAGGAGACAAGAATGCGATGGACATTTCATTTCATGCTTTACTTTCTTGCTTCGTTTTAGGATTTCTATCGGCCGTAACTGAAGGCCAAAAGAAGTCCCGTCATGATTGTAGCTGGACATTCCATCTAAACACCGCTCTCCTGTACACTCAGAGAAGCAAAGATGTCCGGTCATGATGGTAGCTGAATATTCCATCTAAACACCGCTCTCCTGTACACTCGGAGAAACAGAAATGTCCCGTCATGATGGTAGCTGAATATTCCATCTAAACACCGCTCTCCTGTACACTCAGAGAATCAGAGATGTCCCGTCAGGATGGTAGCTGAATATTCCATCTAAACACCGCTATCCTGTACACTCAGAGAATCAGAGATGTCCCGTCATGATGGTAGCTGAATATTCCATCTAAACACCGCTCTCCTGTACACTCAGAGAATCAGAGATGTCCCGTCATGATGGTAGCTGAATATTCCATCTAAACACCGCTATCCTGTACACTCAGAGAATCAGAGATGTCCCGTCATGATGGTAGCTGAATATTCCATCTAAACACCGCTATCCTGTACACTCAGAGAATCAGAGATGTCCCGTCAGGATGGTAGCTGAATATTCCATCTAAACACCGTAGTACACTCAGAGAATCAGAGATGTCCATTGAATATTCCATCCAAACACCGCTCTCCTGTACACTCAGAGAATCAGAGATGTCCCGTCATGATGGTAGCTGAATATTCCATCCAAACACCGCTCTCCTGTACACTCAGAGAATCAGAGATGTCCCGTCATGATGGTAGCTGAATATTCCATCTAAACACCGCTCTCCTGTACACTCAGAGAATCAGAGATGTCCCGTCATGATGGTAGCTGAATATTCCATCTAAACACCGCTCTCCTGTACACTCAGAGAAACAGAAATGTCCCGTCCTGATAGTTGCTGGACATGCCAAGTAACTATCGCTATACTGTAGCTAAAAACCAATATGCTTTAACTCAATAAAACAGGGATATCTTGCCATGATGGTAGCTGGACATTCCAACTAACCATTATGCTTTAGCTCAATAAAACAGGGATATCTTGTCATAATTGTACCTGGACATTGTAATAAACCAATATCCTTTAATTCAATAAAACAGGAATATCTTGCCATGATGGTAGCTGGACATTCCAACTAACCATTATGCTTTAACTGAATAAAACAGGGATATCTTGTCATAATTGTACCTGGACATTGTAATAAACCAATATCCTTTAACTCAATAAAACAGGGATATCTTGCCATGATGGTAGCTGGACATTCCAACTAACCATTATGCTTTAACTGAATAAAACAGGGCTGTCTTGCCATAATTGTACCTTGACATTGTAATATACCAATATCCTTTAACTGAATAAAACAGGGATGTCTCGCTACAATGGTAGCAGGACATTGTAATTAACGAATATGTTTTAACTCGATGTAGCAGTGATGTTCCGTCAAAATGGTAACTGGACATTCAAACCGTATTCGTATTATGAAGAAAGAGTTAATTCAATGTACCTCCCTTCTGCTAATCATCTTCGCCCCTCATCCTCATCCTTGTTCCTATCATTCAGCATCAGCATCCCTTTGGTGATTGTCAAACACCAAGCTATGCAGTGAGTGAGTGAGGTTTTACGCCGCTTTTAGCAATATTCCAGCAACACGACAGGGGACACCAGATATGGGCTTCACACATTGTACCCCTGTGGGGAATCGAACCCAGGTTTTCAGCGTGACGAGCGGGCGCTTTAACCATTAGACTACCCAACCGCCCCCAAGCTATGCAAATCCTTCGCCCATATCATCTCAACTTATATGCCCTGTACATACAAAAATGGCGAAATACGTTATATGTTTTTGTTCGCAAGGAACACTGAACGTTAACGCGTAAAATCGATATGTATGCCACTTCCTACCTGCTAAACGCCTAACAGTTGGCAGCATGGTGTATGGTGTCATCCACAAACTCGTGTGTGGATCGAGAGGAGGTTACATTTCACTTACATCTTTGATTTCACTAATGTATGAATATTATCTACATGCATGACAACTGCCTTTTTCCCAACAATGTCCCATAATACCCAATGTGTTGACGAAACTGATCGTAGGTATATTTGGTACTACCTCTATATATAGGAGGGAGGGGCTTGGAGACATGGCCGGTGGTATAAGCAGTCCCCGGCGAGTATAATGCAAGGATCTGATTGGCTATCATGGCTTCATATGCTGTCAACAACCCGTTATTATGTGAGTCCGAAGTCGGTAAGGCAACCGGGAAGTATTCACAGTAGGGGACAGACACGCACCTTATCGGTGACTACATTAGTCGGACTTCTTGAACGAAAAAAAACACGATCTGTCATCTGGGAACGATCCCATAGCTCGTGACTGATAAAATAGGCGTTAACCCTACATAAGTTTAACTGCCGGCAAGAGGGTTGTTTGGAAAGATTATTGGTTTTGAACAAGGAGACATTTACATAGATGCAGTTGGTATTATGTTGCTGTTCCTGCGGAGGCACACTAATCGTGAAATAGTTAACCCAATTTGTTAGACTTTGACTTATGTCCCTTGAAATATTAAACAAAAGTCCCAAAACCCTTCCCACATTCATAAGAAATCTCTGTGTATGTGAATCACTATCAAATAGCTATAGTGATGTTCTCAGGTGTTCGCGAAAAGCTGTGGGTATCCTTCCCCGACGGCGGCATGTTTTGTGTTACCGTCATGAACATATGCAATGGCTAGTGAGTTGTTCACCTGAAAATAGTCGGGAAGGTATGGTGCCAGTGAAAACAGGGAATTGCATCTGACATTATTTTGTCACTGAAAATTCACATTTGGAAATGTACTCCACCTTTTCTACCATAAAAACATTTGGTTTCAGAAGTTCCGCAAAGTCACATTGTGTATATATTGCATTTCATAGTATCTTGCCTTGGCCAAATCAATGTTTTCCCCTCTATAGACTATGTTTGATGTTTGCATGGTATAGTATCTTGTCTTGGCCATATCACTATATGTATAGGTTAAGGTACCTTAACATACTTACAAAATGATACATCGACAAAATGAATGATATGCATAAATAAACCGATAGTCACATTATAATGTCCTAATTATCCAACACCCGTATCGTGAAATGGCATCTACCACGGAGAAAAGTTTCCAATCATAGCACGTGCATTACGTGTTGGTCATATGCGTGGTTTATTCAATATCATTCAAGCTGCGAGATTTCGGACAGCGAAGACGGCTTGTTTGTAACCCAGAGGAAGTTTACTGTGATTAGCGATGACAATGTTTCGCGTAGTCGTTTTGGACCTGTTTTGGCTAACGACGATTTAAATAAAAGGATTGAAGACGCCATACCCGATAATACCAAATATAAAATACGAATATGCCGTGACTGCATTCAACAAGTGGCAAAATAACAGACTTCATTTGTCCATTTCCGAGAATTTGACTACATCAAAAGTATGTCTGACGACAGATATCAAGAACATAGACTTTTCCGTCTTAAATGAAGCACTGAAATATTTCATTTTTGAAACCAGGCGTGAAGACGGATCTCGTTAAAGTCCCAGTCGCTCTATGGCATGTTTTGTGGCATACAGGAGTATCTTCGTTCAAAGGGATCTACTATAAACCTGTTTGAGGACGACACGTTCAAAGAAGCCCTGGCGTCTCTCGATGCTGCAATGAAGGAACACGCTGCTATTGGATACGGCCCAGGGAGCATTGTTCAGGCACAAGCAATAACTGTTGAAGAGGAGGCGTTGCTTTCCGAAAAGGGTATTTTAGGAGATTCGAACCCAACTCAACTGCATCAAACTATGCTGTTCCCGGCAGGACTCCGTTTTGGCCTAAGAAGGGGGCAGGAGCATCGAAGCCTGAGAATGCATAATAAGCCACAGATCACTGGGTCCTTCCTGGATTCGTCTACTGACAGACGGTATGTGATATATCGTGAAGACGTTTCCAAAGCTAACGCCGAACTTCTTCAGTCTGATTGCTGGTACATTGATTCACCTGTTGGGATCTGAAAAGGATGTGTGAAATGGGCGGACTACAAGGAAAACGTACCAATCACTCACTGAGGGTCTCTACAGCAACGCGCCTGTATGATGCAGACGTTGACGAACAACTCATATCCGACCACTCAATTACATAAATATTTCCTCTAATATTCACTGTTCACCGCCCTTAAAATTGTCCTGAAGGAAAACAACGTTTTTTCACTGATAATATTGGGCCTTCTGTGACACTTTATGACAATGACAAATGAGCTGTAAAGTTCACGTGTATCATTTTCTAAAAACATTTCAGGACATAGGAGCAACGCCGTGCGCTTGTACAAACGCTCCACCTCCTCGATGCAAGCCAATGTATCAGACGTTCTCTATGGGAAGAAGCCGCGAGTGAACACCCCTTCAGCAACAGTCACCCGCGTTGAAGATTTCGAATCGGCAAGGGAAACAACTCAATCTACTGATGAAAGTGTTGCAGTAGTGCGTTCTCAGGAGGAATCAGGCGCCCAAAGCAAGAAACGTCCCATTTCGCTTGTTAACATAAACCTGTAAATTTGAGATGAATAAACCTTTCATGGCCCTTGACTTGGTTCTTTTTGAGACTGAAATAGAGACTTCAATGAAGTTGGTAGCTTTCTGATCCATAGGCGATGTCACTGACAGTACTATCTTTAGTAGTTCTATCCACGAAGAAAGAACCACTAAACGTTCTGTCTGTAAAGTAAGCGCTCCCATTCGTTCCATCTACACCGCCAGAAGGAACCGAAAGTTCAAATGGACCTGTCCACAGGTCTTACCAAGAGGTTTTAGTATGGCCGTTTACAATGGGATGACCTCACATGAGTTTTGTAATCCCCGCTATAGACTGTTTGATGTTCGCTTGATGAATCTTACCTTGACCATATCAATATAAAAAAAACGTCAGTACGAATTCAAAATTAGATAGGCACTGTAATCAAATCATTACAGAAATGGACATAATAAGCGGATCAAAAACAATTTTTGTGTACGATATCTTGATACATCAATAAATAACAATTTCAAGACATTACGTGAACGTTTGCAGTCCATTCAGACTCTTGACTGCAGTATCTAGTGTGACCACCATGAGCGGCAATAACTGCAGCACAGCGTCTATGCATGGAGTGTACCAATCGATTGATGAAGGCCATTGGCACCTGGGGCCTGGCGCAATAAATCGTCTGTGTTCGGCCTTGGTATGACATTATTCAGTCTCCTCTTAATTTCATCCCAAAGATGTTCAAGTGGGTTTAAATCAGGACTAAGTGAGGGCCACTGCATAATGTTGCCACCGTTCAGCTGTAGGAAGTCCCGTGTAGCTCTAACAGTATGGGCCCGGGCGTTATCATGCTGGAAAACTTGCTGTTCCGATGACGTGCGAAATGTGGTATGACGTGGGGTCTAAGAGCTTGGTCGATGTAGCGCACCGCTGTGATGCCGCCTCCTCTCCCTGGACCAAGGTTCTGGAACAACGGAGGACCCACTCTCTGGTTCTGGTTAAGGTGTAGGAAGATGAGGGGTCCAGAGAGTATGAAAGGAGAGAATTGAAAAGAAGGGAGTGAAAGCGTGACTTGAGTTTTACGCCTCTTTTAGCAAAATTCTCTCAATAGCATGTCAGGGACACCAGAAATGGCCTACACACATTGCACCCATGTTGGGAATCGAACCCGGGCCTTCGGCGTGACGAGCAAACACTTTAACCATTAGGCTACCACACCGCACTTATGATGGTACACCAATTAAAAGGACGAGAAAGGGAACCTGGTAGTTGAAAAGAGTATCATGTAGAGAAAATGTTAAAAGGGACAACATGTAATAGAGGAAAGAGTGAAAAATGGAAATAGAATATTCGCAAACAGTTTAAAGAGGAAGACATGGAAATAGTTTCACAGGGAGAGCAAATGTAATTAAAACGAGAAGTACAAATAGACTTCCATTGGAAAGTGGAAGACAGGGAATGTGATAGTTGAGAGTTAAAGAGGACATGAGGGAGAAATATGAGATGGGTGGAGTAAATGGATGGTGAAGAATGTGGGACGATTGGAAGGGTTGAGAAGGGAGGGAAGTGATAGTTTGTGGGGAAAGAAGATACGCAAAACACGACCATTTAAGAGGATTCGTCAAAATTTTAGCAGGGACAGAGTTGACAAGCGTCACTGATCCACTCAGGGTTATGACACAGAAAGGGGATTGGGTATCCGGGTATCCGGGTGTCGGGTGTCGGGTGTTGGGTGTAACCCACTTTCTGGATACTTCTCCTTTATGTATCCTGGGTAACGAAGCGTTAACGGCGCACGCTCATGATTACAAATGCCATCAGGTAAAGTCTTCCCAGAGGAAACGATAACTCATATGGCTTTAGAATTTATGCATCATATATATCTGCTGTTGAAATCTAATCCATGATATTTTTTCTGATGGCGTTTCTCTGTTAAGATGGTGTGCAATAAGGTATTGCATCCCTTGTGGGCGGTGACGCAGTTCGGACAAAGGAATTCAGAACCTCAAGCGTATATTTGAACCTGATGGTCCTTCTTACGGGGTTTTCTCGATCTCCCAACATTTGGGACCGTAGAACAACACGGGGATTAAGTGGCGGATGGGTCCTCCTTACATCTCAGCAACATTCGGGATTGGTTATATCGGTTTTTCCACACACTGCAGCTCTTGACCTGAAAGTGACACAGCTAAAATGTAAAGTATTGCCCTGCTGTGTTGTATTGTTGGACCTAAATTGCTAAGTCATATTACCACGTGGACCACCTGACGTGCCTATGTGAATACGTGCCACCAGCTAGTTATTATTCTGATAAAGTGTGGATAGGTCGATAGGTTTATGTAACTCGTGAGGTATGTTGATATGCTATCATTTTTTATGGACATCACACTGTGATGCTGGCAGATCTCCCTTTCATCGGGACCCGTGAAGATCCGGGTTAGAATTGATCTTCACTAACCCATGCTTGTCGTAAGAGGCAAATAACAGGATGACACATGTCAATTGTGTAAATCGATACTCATGCTGTTGATCACTGGATTG